GGACTTTCGGTGTACGTTGCTTGTGTACTGAATCGCCTATAAATTCTGAGCTGCTTCCGCTTCAACTTATGCTAACTGCCGATATCATACGATGGCAAATTTTTCCGGGCTACGAATCAGTCTTTCATATTGCCCTCCAAAGCTCTTGGATTTGTGTTTCACAAGATTATCGTGAGGTCATCGTTTTCGAAAACCTCATTTTTTTTTTTAATGTTTTCTGTCCACACAAAAACAAAAGGCCGAATGTTTTCAAATTTCTCCGGTTTGAAGAAAGAAAGAAATATAGAAATAAAGCTGTGTTTTCAAATTCATCCGGGGTAATGAGCACGGGACCTACATCGTTATATGATTGAGTTGTTTTTGTACGCAGAATAAGTTCACAAATGAAGCCAAGGAAATAGAAGACATCGTTAGCCCGGTGGTTCCCTCGAAGAAGTCACTCTGTGTGGAAGAAACACAACAATTGCTTAAACTGCATGAAAACACTGATCCAGAAGGTTAGTTTTGTTGTTGTTGTTGTTGTTCTTTATGATATCACTGAACATGAATTACGTTCCAAAACTGTCGGTGTTAATTTGGTCGGGCGCTTAACGACAAGGTTCACGGGTCTGGCAGTTTCCTTTCTGTAACGTAAACGCGCCTGCTCCTCTAAGTAAACTCTAATGATTTTAATTGTATTTTAGGGGAGAAATTGGAGTTACTTGAACAGCAACCGGTTAAAGATGGTGTTGAAACCTTCTTGGATGAATCACTAACAGCGTCTGAGAAAAACAATGAAATAAAGAAGACTGACTTTGTCAAGCTGAATGACGGTAATCTTCTAAACGAAAGGGACATCGAAATGGTCTGCTATTAACTCGTCCGTGTTTGAAACAGGATAGCTACTCCTTGTTGTTTTGAGCTCACGTGTGCTCTTTTGTGGCAGTTATATATCAAACACGGGTGACCGTGTCTTACCACATTTAAAAAGAGAGTTGAAAATACGACGCGCAGCGAGTATTTTTGACTAACTTCAAGGTGTTTGGAAATAGGTTAAAACACTGTTTTGAGTGCTTGATATATCTTCTCAATCGAAACTAAATCAATAGAGTAAAATCGTAAAAATTTATTCTTATTAAGATCAGATATCCAAACACCTTCATGGTCATGATTTCCTTTGTATAAAATTGATATTAATAATTTTGAGAAGGTAGGGATAATGTAATCCACCGTATAAGCCGCATTATGTTTTGCAAACAATTTCATCCCGTGATTAGTGTTACCCGCACGTCTCAAATTGGGTTCAAAAGAGTGACCTCAAAAAGCTATAATTTAAGCCTTCAAAGGGCTAGCGTCCAGACTGAGTTTCTGCAGCAGTGTTTCGGATTGCTTTTTCCCTGTGCAAACCGCAGTAAATAGGCCATTTTACAGTTGTATGCTTAGTTACTTAGCCTATGAATGCAAGCGAGGCTGGAGGTGGCCTTGCTTTGATGCAGACTTCTCTGCTCTTCTCATTTATATGACATCTAGTTAGCATAAGAACAACTTGATTTACACAACAACAGCTGTGAGGTCTTTATCAAAACAAGGTCACCTGTAGCCTCGCTGCCATTCAAAGGCCAAGTCATTGAACAGACAACTGTAAAATAGTCTATTGCTAACCTCTTAAACGTTTGGGTTCAACTTTGCCTTATTAAGTTGAGCCACAAATTGAACCAGTTCTCCATGTTAAGGGGATGAACGAAGTACTTCCAATCTACTGAAAGAACAGCAGTTATTGGAATCGCCAGCCCATCTTCCAACTGTCCCAGCTGACCACGGCATGAGTAAGAAGTTCATCAGTAGTTTGGAAAGTTTTGAACAATCGCCAGAGATAAACAGGTATGTTGTCTTATAGAACATGTTACAAACAAGCTGAAAATCAACTGGTACTAATCAGTTAACTGAGAACTTTATTTAGCTGTTATCATAGAGCGGTTTTCACTTCATTTGGGTGTCGAAAGTAACCAGACAATTACTTTGGTTTTGGATTTGGTTTTACTACGGTTTGACCTTGCCTGAGTAGTCTAATTGGTGAGTAATTGATTCTCTTTTGGGTTTTACGACACTCAATTGAAAATCGCTCTAACTGTTATTGGACTCAAATACCAGTGAACGGATTAAAACATTTCGCTAAGTCTTGTCTCTTGAAAAATACTCGAAGACATCAATTCCTCGCCGTTATACAGAGTTGGATAATTCTGATCAAGAATTAACTTTTGATCCACCTTTT